TATGTATGTATGTATGTATGTATGTATGTATGTATGTATGTATGTATGTATGTATGTATGCACAGGTGGGTGCGCGTGTATATGCACTTTCACATGTTCGTGCGTCGCCCCTTTCGTTAGTGAGTTCATCACTTGGTCATTCTGCAGATTTTTGCATGCTTATGTAGATGTGCATGGACATAGTCAGTGCGCCAGCATTGCTCGCTAGCAAAGCTGGTACATGTGTACATATCTCGACTCCATCGACTCCATGCAAATTGTAAGTGCACTTGCTTACAAAGCGTGCACAGATAGAATTGCCAAAAACCAGCTTCCCCAGCTGCACTAATCGTATCCAGACGGAGATCGGCAGCGGGCGGCAGTCTCCTGTTCTTAATACAACCGCTGCTCCTACACACATCGCATTTGAACCAGCATTTCAACTTTCATCCTTAAGTTAAGTCACTTGATGTTCTCGTTTATAAACCTGTGAATCAAGCTTACATTCTACGCGCGCTAAAGTAGGGTCGCCACCGCGGAGATTGCGGTCTCTGACAGGAAGAGCCTTACGAACAAACATACAAAGACTTAGCAACTATGTAAAATGATGTACATTCCTGTTGGAACATTACTTTTTATTACTTAGATTCAAGTTCAAGTTTTCGTTTCGTTATAACGCACGTCAACTCGTTTGCGGTTGCTTCCGCCACCGGTTGGGAGACCGGCCTAAAGGGACTGAGTGAGCAGGAGGCAAACACCGGCTTCTTGCCTTACTCCTTCTGCCTACCCTTTTGGATATATATAGACTTTGGGGGTAAAGGTTAATTTTACGCTTCCCTGAATTGTGTCGAGATGACTTTCCTTTACAAGTCGTCAGCGACAGTCTGCCTCGTTGCCCTGTGTGGGATCCAGTCAGTAGCTGCCGACACAACATACAAATTTACGGTAGAGAATGTAAGTGGAGGTGAGCAAATAATCCATACAAGTTTATAATCGTTGCCTGTTCCCCCCCATATTGCTTGTTTCCCAGCCCGCCTACTAATAAACTGCGAAAGATCGCACACAACTGCGTTGCCCACTGGTTTTGTCCTTGTATGTCTTTGCGTTTGTTCTGGCCTGCCTGTTGCAGATGCCTACCTGGCTGCTAACCTGGCTCGTAATGGACAGCTTCCAGTTCACATCAGTGAAGTTGCAGAGGCCAACGACCTTGTTGCGAGTCTGACGGAACTAATAAGCGATAAACCGATTACAGAGTCGTGTGACGACATGCAGTTCGGCGTTGAGCTTGTGAGCCCACCAGCTGGAAAAGGCGAGAATCCATGGAGTCGCTACTGGTACTCACACTATAGGCACAGGCAACTCTTAACTACATTGTAAAACCCGGCAGAAACTGTCCATGTACCTGATTTGCCAACTCAGCCTACAACTAGGAAAGCTCTTTTTGCGTTTGCTTCTAATGGATGTACAGAAGAAGGTGTTCCACGAGTTTTTCGAATACACAGGCAATAATGACTACCGTGAAGTGCTGCAGGCTGCCCTGACGGCGGGATTGGATACCTTCAAGTAAGGAGCGGTCATATTGATTTTCACTCTGGCACATTCGTGTATTCTTTTTAAAATCTGATATGCAACGCACAGCGAGTCGACTATGTGCTTCCAAAGCAAGCATCACTCCAATTCCTTCATCCAGCATCTGTGCAATTGTCTCTGCTACATGTGTGTCGCGGTGCTTTGTGCTTCTCTTCTTCAAAAAGAGAAACTTACCCTCAAGATGTTAGTAAGTGGGCGGAGCTGTGGGAAAATGAGGAGTTTGCCAGCCTGGCATATCTCCTCGGTTCAACAAGTACTCGTATCGGGTGCGTCGTTGGAAAGTGTGCCATAGAGGAGACTGCAACTAGAGAAACGGGGGGTCCAGAGGATCCTCCAGAGGATCCTCCAGAGGAGCCTCCAGCGAAGCCGACTGTAACTGCAACTGACAAGGCTGTGCTTTTCTGCAAACTAGATCCTTCGACGCAGGAGAACACCGCCCCCTTTAGGTGAGATTTTGGTTTCACAGCATTGGAGTGGTTTAACAAGGATTATAACGAGCGGCGACCACAACTGAGGATGTGTTCTTCGATGCTTTATGCATGCTTTTCCTTGCCTGCAGTGAGGACTACTTCAAAGCACTTATTGCACGAGAGACCTCACTCACAGATATGACTGAAAACGACCTGCAACCATCTGTTGAACTCGGTGCAGCACCAGCTGCCGTCCCCACCATTCTGATTGCCGGCTTGGTTGCCATGCTGACAACCGGCTTTGCATAAAGATGCGACTTTCCGCTAGCTAGCTAGCTGACTAGCCATCCATCCACTAGACAGCTAGCCACCCCCCGCACCCGCAACGTCCTGCGCGAACAGCTCCACTTTGTTGGCTGGTCTTACAGACCCAGTGCATCAAGGAGGCGACAGGCATCGAAGATGTGGGGGAGTACCAGTGTTTGGCCCCCACACTCTGAGACCTCTCCACCTCGCGTAGTGGACGCGGTATTTTTTTAAACTTACAGCGACTAACTCAGTCATTTACCGTAGAGCATGCGTTGTTTATTTATTGTTTTTTACCACTAAGGCTGAATATGCGAGCCGGGCTGAATATTCAAACAAGCAGTTGATATCAGAAGGCAATTAAACCCGGAAACAAGCCAGGGACAACGACAACGCTAACGAGTTGCGTATGCTTGGCTATTTGTCATTTGCTGTTTGCCACTCTTGTACCTCTATCTTCCTTTGTTGTGCAGTCCAGCAAAAGTCTAACCGAAGAAAAAGAAATGCAGCAATACAGAAACACGTAATACAGACAGTCAGGGAGGCAAGCAAACAACTGCAGTTGATAGTAGAGGTGACGATCTGAGAGGGTTACAACCATCTAGATGCATGCTTCTTCCTAAGGAGGACAAACATGAATGATTGCGTGGCCAACATGGCTTGACTGCTGCGCAATTATATTGGGAGGCATTTACAGTCAGTCGATGTCATCGCCGGACATCCCTGCATTTGCATCTAGCATGTCTGGACTGTTGCCTGTGCAACTTAGGCTGTTTATGGAAACAGATGGAGAGCAGTTGCTTTCTTCTGCAAGCATTCGTAGATGGGACTGCGGGGATACACCTTCAAGGTGTTTGCTGAGCTGAAAATTACTTAAGGGGCATGCTTTTCAGCTAAGGGTCTAGCGTTTAGGCAACAGATCTTTTCTGTTATCTCTCCGCACAACCACTATGCCCAGCACATATGGAAGTTCCAGTATGGGAATTCATTATCCGTGCTTTTGACGAGCAGTTCTGCTTCTACCTTGTCGGTTTAAAGCGACTATAGCTCATGTTCGTCGTGTGCTGCAGCCGTTGAAGCTTGTAGCAAACCTAGACACAGTGCATTGGAGTGGACTGATTTGTTTTACGTTTACAACAAGATTATCTAAGTTAATTGGAGCTTCGATTTGGGCTACTAATCTTGGGTGCCCGTCCTATAGGGAACGTGCGGCTGGTGTCTGTACACCTGCGAGATCCGTGTTTTAGGACCTGCTGCGTGCTTCACTAATGTATGTGAAATCCCCTTTTTAGAACTTTTAATAGCCAAATGAGATCTTCTTAGAGTTCGTTCCTAATCATGTTTGCTAAAGCCGATGAAATAAAACCATTCGTAAACCCGATTGGCTGCCGCGGTGTATACATGCAGCATGCGGGTCTTCTTCGGTGCTGTTACGCAGTTCATGAGGCAAACGAGCTGGGTGCAGGGAGGGTAATGTGCATTTAAAGATACTAAAGAATAAGTAAGTTAACTAGATTAAGTATGCATTTACATGCGCGATATTACCAACAACAAACTGTTCCTGGGATCGTCTGTTCAGCTGCGCTTAGAGCAGCGACGCGATAAAAGGCCCCAAGGCTCTTCTCATATCTGTGCTCAGCTGCCAAGGGCCCCTTGCGTTATTTTCTCCCGTTTTCTGCTGCTGGTGGGCATTTGGAGTTATTTGTTTCTGATTTGTTGTAGCCTTTTTCTTCACTGTCCTTATTTAAACACATAAAGAGGCTCCACAACATCAAGACTTGTTCCCCGCTACTGTCTGCTGCCCGCCGCAAGCAGACGGCGGCGTCAGCTGCTGCTGCAGGTCGTGCACTTCTCCTGCATTCCCCTTTGGATCTCCGGCAACCCCAATACATCTATTGGTCTTTTTACTTATTTTGTCTCTTGGTTCTGAAGCAAACAAGTCTCTAATCCTTCCCGTCATTCTCCATGCAGGCACCCCCCTTCCCCCCTTCGAGGCCACGCCAGGGAGGTCCTGGAGGCCCGCCAATGGGAGGCCCTCCCTTCGGTTTCCCACATAACGGCATGGGGCCGCCGAACTTTGGCTGCCCTCAGGGGGGGCCCCCTCCTCCTGGGGCCCCTGGAGGCAACATGGGGCCCCCAGGCCCGATGTTCCCCCCGCCGGGTGCATTTGGAGGGCGGCCTCCCTTCTCTGGGGGCCCCATGGGGGGCCCACACCCACCTGGTGCGTTTGGGGCCCCTCCTATTCCACCTCCTGGCGGTGCTTTCGGGCCGGGGGCGCCTCCCCCCTTCGGGGGCCCTGGGGGAGTTCCGCACGAAGCAGCAGCAGCAGCAGCAGCAGCTGCTGCTGCTGCGGCTACCTTAGCAGCAGCGACGGGAGGGTTCGGGGGGCTCCCATTTGTGCCAGGGGGCCCATGCGGGCCTGCTGGAGGGGCCCCCGGCGTCCCTGGAGGACCCCCCGCTTTAGGGCATGCGGCCCCTCCTTCTTTAGATGAGCATATGAAGAATGTGAGGCCCTCCGATTATGTTCCCTTGAAGGCAGAGAAAGGAATGCGGAGGGCAGGTGTTTCTGGGGGACAGGAGCAGCTGCTGCTGCAGCGGCTGCAGGAGGAGGGGGCATTCGCGCGGCTGATGAAGATGGCAAAGGAGCAGCTGCACCGGGAGGGGTTTGTGTTTGCAGTGCAGCAGCTGGTGGCAGCTCGAATGAAGGAAGCAGACGGGATTGCTGCTGCTGCTGCAGGGGATGAAACAGGCCTAGTTAACCTTATTAGAGAAGAAGGCAGGAAGCAGATACCGGAACAAGTTAAGAAGACAATCTTAAGAACAATTGAAACCCTTGCAGGGTTAGAGGCCCCCAAGCCGAAGGCAGACGAAGAGGAGGAGGCAGACGAGCAGGAGAAGAGGCAGGATGAGGATACGCAAGACAAGGAAGCAAAAGCAGGTGATAAGTCTCCTGCCCCAGCAGCAACCAGTGTCTCTGTCAGCAGGAGCCGTAGCGTCAGTCGGGGCAGCATCGACAGGAGCCGCAGCAGGAGCCGCAGCAGCAGCCGCAGTAAGAGCCGTAGCAGCAGCAGAAGCAGCGTAAGGAAGTCTCCTGACAGACACAGCAAGGCAGACAGCCAGGAGAGGCATGTGCTCTGGAGAAGAGCGGCAGCATTCCGCTCAATTGCCGGAAGGTCTGCTGCTGCTGCTGCAGCTGCAGCTGCTGCAAAGGCAGAAGAGGAGAGTCGCCCCAGCCGCAGCCACAGCAGCAGCAGGAGACGCAGCAGCAGGAGACGCAGCAGCAGCAGGAGCAGTAGCAAACGACGCGGCGGCAGCAGCAGAAAGAGGCACAACAAAGGGCGAGGCAGGAGCCGCAGCAGCAGCAACAGTCTCAGCCGCAGCCGCAGCAGCAGTATCGACAGCAGACACAAGAAATCCTCAAAACGACGAGATGGAGACGGGGACAGAGACAGAAAGCGAAGAGACTCAGATAAGCAGCACAAAAGCAGCAGCAGCAGCAGCAGCAAAACAAAGGACAGAAAGTCGAAAGACAAAAGAAAGGAGGAGGTGGACTCGGGGAAACACAGCAGCAGCAGCAGCAAAGGACACAGCAGCAGCAGCAGCAAGAGACACGAAAGCAGCAGCAAACGACATGGAAGCAGCAGCAAGAAACACAGCAGCAGCAGCAGCAAGAAGCGTTAGATTGTCTCCTTTGTCCTTTCCCTATGAATATGCTTTGCTTTGCTTTGTCTCTCCCTCTGTCTTCCTTGGTTTTCTTAGTATTTACTAAGCTTGCATTTCTTTCTTCTTATTACATTTGCTTGTGTTTCTTGTCTCTGCGTGCCTGTCTCCTTTTATTTGCTGCTTCTGCGTCTGCGCAGCTCAGCTGTCTCCTGGCTTTGTCTATCCTTCGAATTGCAGGTAGAACATAAGCACTATATATATTTTACATATACATAACATATATGTTGCCTCTGTCTTAATGGCATTTATTATATTTATTATATGAGACAAACTCGGATTATATATATTTAATTACATTTTGTAAACTCTACAGAGTTTGCATAGACCATATTGTATGCCTAGATATATACATATATAGATGTATATATGCATTATTTACATTCTATACTACCTGCATATTGCATGTAATATGCAATAATGTAAGGTACATATATTATGTATTATTTGTATGTTGTATGTATTCACTAACATATATGTCTATTATATATATGTTTTACGTCGTAAATAGTGATATATGCATATAGAGTTGTATGTTAGCAGCAAACTGCTTTAGGCTATGCATTAAGAAGATTGTTTCGTAGGATTTTGCAAGTAGAACATTCTATTTATATTTGCAAGCAATTGCATGCAGTTGCATGCATCTGCGTGCTTTTAGGGGGCTAAATGCAAGTAGAAACAAAGAGGGTTTTTGCGGTGTTGTGCTTTAATTGAAGAGACAATGTCTCTCTAGACAGACATTTAAATACTCAGGACAAATTGCCTATTGGAGATACGACGATTTAATATATTAGTACTAGTCATTCAGGAGGACGTATATTTAGAGACAAAAAGATAAAAAGTTGGAGAGAAAACTTGATCCTAGCAGTAATAGATAATACAGTCACACACCACCACTCAACAATAGACAGCCGAGAATAAAACAGATGCAATTAGATCTTTTAGACGCAAAAGAAGAAGTACTACTATAAGGAGGAAGGAATGATGCTCATGCTGCGGAACAAATAAAAATGATAAACAACATATACATAGAAATAGGAAGGAACAAATAAGGCAGGTAAGGACCCTTTTAACAGGAAGGGACGTTAATTTGTCACTGTACAGTTGCGTGCATAGAGCAGCCACGAAGACTAAGAGGCAAGTAAACGGGAAGGAGGGGAGACAGAATCGGATGGATGTCACAACATGTCTCCGGTGTTGTTGGTGCGCCTGCAAGTGCTGCTTCAGCAAGACGGTGGGGGAGGCATTTGCGGCAGTGCCATTGAGCAGTAAACTTAAGCAGTTTAACACAATAGGAGTCCTCTAGAAAACCAGCCATGCAAGCACGCAGGTGAAAGCCGCCTACTATAGAATACTTTATTGGAGTCTTATTGTACGAACTGCAGCAGCAGCAGCATGCAAGGAGAATAAACATTGAGAGTTAACAGCCGGCGCAGGGAGGGAGATAGGCAATCTCTGTATCCACATCGTTTTCCTTTTCTTTAACAAGGGATTAAACGCCAAGTTTATAGTAGGATAGGGCCGCTATGTACATACCACAAACACCTGCACAATACATGCGCTATTATACGGTACTAGTGGCTGTGTCTAGGGTTTACTGTTTACGGCTTTGCGTTTAAGGGGGCTCTAGGTCGTATTAGTATTGTCTGTTGCAGCAGAGAATGCTGATTAACTGCTTCTGTCTAAAAGATATATCTTTGCTGCTGCGCTGTGGGGAGAATCGGCAGCTCGAGGCGGCGCCCCTTGCTGTTGCTGCTCTCGCCCGGTTCATTTCTACCAGTTCTAAGGGCAGAAATTTGATTTTAATGGACGAAAGAGCTTTAGAATAATAATCACATAGAAACAGAAGGAAAAAGAATATTTATTTACCAAAGACACATTGCCTAAATTCCTCATATCGCCGCCCGTTAAGGGCTGACTCGCTGCCGCAGGGACCCAGGATTGCAGGCCCCACATATCCTGTAAACCCTAAACCCTAAACCATAGACCTTAAACCCTCAATAATCAATAGTTGGAAACGTGTGGACAAAAGCTTCGAGAGGAAACTTGGATCTGCTGTCAGTTCTGCACACGGTCTCGCTGCTGCTCTGCTGCTGCTGTTGCTGTTGCTGGTGTTGTTGCTACTGGAGCAGATTCCGCCACTGCTGCCAGGCTCCACTTCTGCCGCTTTTCTGAATGTCATCTTTACCTTCTATCAAGTATACTTAAGGGGAAGGCTACATCCGTGCGTGCTGTTGTTGCAGGTGTCTGTAGGTAACGACGGAAGCAGCAGCAGGACCGGCAGCAGCAAGGCGTTGCGGCTTTAAATGCTTCTTGGCCCCCGGGAGCCTCCCTGTTCCCATTTCATTCGTTTCTTTGTTGCAGCAGCACATCGTCGTTTGTTCTTGCGCTTACACGGCTCGTGCTGCAGCCCCTATAAGCCCATCGGCGCCTCTTCATTATCCAGTAGCACTAGCAGTATCAATAACAGCAGCAACAGCAGCAGAATGGCAGTAGCAGCAGCAGCAGCAAAGGGAGCCCCTGGCCGTAGGGCAGAGGTGGGTACAGCCCATACTTTGGGTGTACTTGGTCACATAGGAGGCGACTTCACACCCACCAAGGGTGCCCCCTTTATTAAGAAGAGACTCGATATCTTTGAAAGACTCATGGCAAAGCAACAACAAGAGATAAAGGGTATTTTTGCTGCTGCTGTGCTGTGTATGGCGGTTTTGTTCTTGCTGCTGCTGTGGATGGCGATTTTGTTGTTGCTGCTGCCGCTTACGATGGTACTGTTCCTGCTGCTGTGAGTGGTTTCGCTGCTGCTATTGCGGGTGCTGTTGCGTTTACTAATTCTGCTGTTTCTGTTGCTTTTACGGCAACGTGCGTTGATGCCACTCGGTTTGCTGCTGCTGGCGTTGCTCTTGTTTGTTCTGAATGCGCCTGCTGCTCCTGCTGACAATTCTGCTGCTTCTGCAGCAGCTGCTGCGGCGAGCGAGAATACAAGCGCCTGTTCGATCGCAACTTTAGTGCAGTTACGTGCCATGTGCCGCCAGAACGCACACATTTAGGGTTTATGATTGGATAGGAGTAGCGCTCCCAAGAGCCTGCAGCCTGTCTCCACAACCTACACTACCGCTGTTGCAAAACAGAAACACCAACATTAGCAACAGCAGCAACAGCGTGCGGATTTGTGTTGGGGTGTACAGACAAGCCAAAGAAAAGTATTGTTATTGAACTTCCTGATGGCAGCAAACGCGAAGGCATCGCTTGGGAAACGACTGCTTTGCAAATTGCTACCGATATCTCCAAAGGATTGGCCAAGGCTGCCATTGTTGCAAAGGCACGCTTTACTAATATATTTATTAATTTGCTTTAATTTTGTCATTAGTTTATTATTTTGCTTGGTTGGGTGGCTGGTTGTTTATATCATAAATTAATTTACTGTATTTGTTTGTTTTTCTATTTCTATGTTTGTTTGGCTTGTGTGTTTCTTTAACTTCGTTTTCTTGTGTATTTTTGTTTGGTTTTATTTTTGTGTATTTGCCTACTTTTCTGTGTGCTCGTTCGTTCGCTCTTGTTTTTTCCTTAGGTAGGATATGAGGCGGGCAGCGGAGCTTCTTCTTCTTGTTTAGCGGCAGCAGACTCAGATGAGACGGAGGAGACAGCAGCGGAGGGTTGCTGCTCTGGTAACCAGCAGCAGCAGCAGGAGGCGGGGGCTGTCGTTTGGCAGCTGTGGGACTTGACTAGGCCTCTTGAGGACAATTGTAAACTCCAAATTCTTAAATTTGATGATCCAGAAGCACAAAGTGTCTTTTGGCATTCAAGTGCTCACATCCTTGGTGCGACAGTTCATCCACTGCACGTTGCATGCGTGCATGTTTGCATACGTTGTGCTCTGTTGTATTTTATGGGGCTTGAAACTAAGTGTTGTTTAGTATGACATGTTGGCCGTATGATATAGGGCTTATGCCTTAGCGTTTTAGAACAATTCTTTCCCCTTATAACATACGATATATATAATGTATATTTACTTTTTTGTTGTTAGGCAGGTGATGTTTTAGGATGTCTAGCGGGTCCTAGGATGTATTTTTCTTCGTAGAAAAGCGATATTCAGCAGTTCGATTTGCTGTGTTTGTATCCACGCATTGCAGGACAAGCACTGGAGGCGGAGTTTGGTGCTTTGCTGACGGTGGGCCCGGCATTAAGACCAGGGTTTTACTACGACTGTTATATGGGGGCGCACACAATGAACGAGGGTTTGCATGCATCAATTGAAGCAGCTGCGCAGCGGATAGTGTCGGAGGCGCAGCCTTTTGAGCGTTTGGTGTGTTCTAAAGAAGAAGTATTAGAAATGTTTGCAGATAATCCTTTCAAATTAGCTCTTATTCGTTCCAAAGTGCCCGATGGCAGCAGGACAACCGTTTACAGGTGTGGGGCCCTAGTGGACATCTGTAGGGGTCCCCACTTGCCGTCCACTGGTCTATGCAAAGCATTTGCAGTAACTCGTCATAGTGCTGCTTACTTCTTAGGGAACAGCAGCAATGACAGCTTACAGCGTGTGTATGGAGTTTCTTTCCCTGAGAAGAAGCAACTGCAGCAGCATCTGGAGCTGCTGCAGGCAGCAAAAGAAAGGGATCACCGCCTCCTAGGACAGAAGCTTTCTCTCTTTTTCTTTGAGACAAATGTCTCCCCTGGCTCTGCTTTCTGGTTGCCTGAGGGTGCAAAGGTTTACAACAAGTTGGTGGAGTTTCTAAGACGTGAGTATCGCTTGCGTGGTTTTAAAGAAGTTATAACACCAAACATTTTCTCCTGTGACCTGTGGAAGACCAGTGGTCACTACGACAATTATAAAGAAAATATGTACCTCATGTCTGTGGAGGGAAAAGAGTGGGGATTAAAGCCAATGAATTGCCCTGCCCATTGTATGATGTTTAAACACATGGCCCCTTCTTATAGACAGCTTCCTCTGCGTCTAGCAGACTTTGGTGTCCTTCATCGTGATGAGGCCAGTGGCTCTCTCTCGGGTCTTACGCGTGTCCGTCGCTTCCAGCAAGACGATGCGCACATCTTTTGCACTTTAGAGCAGGTAGAGGAAGAAGTGGCATCTGCTCTTGAGTTCCTCTTCTATGTCTATGAGCAATTTGGCTTCTCCTTCTCTCTTGCGCTTTCCACGCGCCCTCTCAAGGCCATCGGGCGCATCGAGACCTGGAACCAGGCAGAAACTGCTCTTCAGAATGCCCTCGAGAAAATCAATAGACCTTGGAAGCTAAACCCTCAGGACGGGGCCTTCTATGGCCCGAAGATAGATATCCAGCTCTGGGATGCTCTCAACAGGCCCCACCAATGCGGCACGATTCAGCTTGACTTCCAACTTCCCATTCGCTTTAACCTCCAGTATAAAACACAAGAAGAAACAGCCTCTGCAGCAGCAGCAGCAGCTGCCGCTGCTGCTGCTAAGAATGATGCGCACGACGAACAGGCTCATGCACAGGGGAACGGAAAGGACAGCAGCAACGGCAGCAGCGACGCCAACAACAGCAGCAGCAGTGTAGAAGGACATCTTAAACCCGGCATGGCACGACCAGTCATCATCCACAGAGCCATCCTGGGTAAGAGAATGTTGACATTCCCTTTTCTGTTTACTTTTATTGCTTTCCTACCTTTCCTTCTTCGGGTGCGTATGTGTACACTGTCTTGGGTTAGTGCAAGGGGTGTATGTCCAGACTGCCTTGGGATGTACACTGCATGTACACTGTATGTGTGTTTGTGTGTATTTTACCGCATGTAGGCTCGATAGAGCGGATGTGCGCCGTTCTGTTGGAACACACAGGCGGGAAGTTGCCGTTTTGGCTGTCTCCCCGTCAGTGTATTGTCCTCTCTATATCAGAGAAAGCAGCAGGATATGCAGAGACAGTTGCGGATGTCCTACAAAGGGAAGGTAATTCATAAGTATACTCTCTAAATAGAGATTAACAAACAAAAAGGAACAAACCCACCCACCCACACAGAGACAGAGAGCCATAGAGATAACTAGGCAGAGAGGCAGAGAGATAAGGATACGAAAAGACAGAAATGGATAGACACAGAGATAGATAGAAACAGAGACAGAGATAAAGAAGGGAAGAGAAAGAGTGATAAAGCAGCAGAGAGACAGAGACACAGAGAGGTGGAGACGAAGAGAGAAATAGAGACAGAAAGCGACAGGAACCGAGGTAGAGTCAAACATAAGCTTGAGGAGGAAGAGGGAAAGAGACAATGCACCAGCGGCAGAACAGTAGAAACCCTTTGTAAATAAGATGGAGATAAAGACAGATACTTCTCTCTGTTTCATGTGCACAGCCACCTGTTCTGCAGCCCTTCTGCTGTTCCTGCTGCTGCTTTTCCAGCTGGTGCTGCTCCTATTTCTAGGCTTTTGGGGCTGCTTTTTCTGCTGCTGCGTTTCCTGAGGTGTAGCTGCTGCAGTGTAAGTGCTGCAGCGTGCCTGCTGCAGAGTATGTATCTGCTGCAGCGCATGCAGCATTTTGTGTTGTAGCATCTTTTTTGTTGCCTTTGCAGGATATGACGTTGGTGTAGACGTTTCGAACAATACAATTAACAAGAAAATCCGCGAGGCACAGCTGCAGCAATGGAATTTGCTGCTTGTTGTGGGGGAGGCAGAAATGACTGCAAAGACAGTGACAGTGCGAAAAAGGGAAGACCCCACAAAGCAGCAGTGCATCTCCATACCTGATTTGCTGCAGATGCTGAAGCAAATGGGAATGCCTGTCTCCAAGCCCCCTGTAGATGTAAGAAGACAGTCTTTTCTTCCTTTGTTTGTCTCCTCCATACAGAAAAACAATCGATCCTTTTGCTGTCCCTCTTTGTCTCGCTTTTGCTGCTGCTGCATGTTTGGCGCGGTGTCTCTGTCTGTGCTTCTTTAATTCTGTTTTTGGTCCTCTCTCCTTGTTCTCGTCCTTTGGTACTCCTGTCTCTGCTTCTTTCTCCCGCAGTTAGTTCCCCTGTCTCTCTCCCCCTGTCTCTTTGTCTGTTTTTCTGTCGCTGTGTAATATATAATTATTTCCGTGCCGTTTACTGTTTTTATTGTCAGCTGTCTCGCCATTTTTAGGGGTCCCTTGTTCTACGTGCTCTCGGAGCACAGGGCAGCACACCTGCCAGCCCCTGGGGTTTCTGCCTACTTCACACTCCATCGGGTGTCTCTGCAGGTTGATCTTATTCTATCTGCTGCTTCTGCTTCTGTTTTGGGGTGTTTATACAGCTCAACGAAGGATGGAAACGCCAAGACAACGCCTAAGACACCACATCGGAAACCCCATGTCGAGCACTACTCTTAGATGAGCCAACAACCAGCCAAGGCACCCACAGCAGCAGCAGCAGCTGCTGCCCCGGCGGATTTAGCAGCCATATTGTGTGTGCGCCAGCTGCTGCTTCAGATTTCAATATCTGTTCTGTCTTAGAGTTGGTATATTTTTCGCGGTTTCTCTTGGGGGCCGTAACAGGCTTTCCCATAGCAGCAGCAGCAACGGCAGCGCAGCTTAGTAACTGTGTTGCATTGTCTTTGGTTTCAACATGCGACGCGTTTCCCACCACTCCCACTCCCCTACCTCTGGCACTGGGATGTTGGACCCTAGGGCCACCACCCGGTAAAGGGCCTCCTACGGGGACCCCGCATGAGCACAGTAGATGCGGGCACCTGTGTCCAATGATTTCTCGTCTGGGCATCCATTAGGCCTCCATGGGAACAGTTACGGGGGCACAGGGGCCCACAAATACCCTTATCTGGGCGCATTTGGGGCCCTCAGAATTGTTAATGAGAGTTTAGGGCGCCCCCCAGGGCAATTGTGGACTGTGCGGGCCCCTGGGCAGACGGTTTTGTGTTTATTCCATCCCCATGCATTTGGGTGGTGTGGCTTTGTTAAGTGTCTGGTAGCCTCTGCAGCAGCATTAGTAGCAGCAGCTGCTGCTGCTCCTGTGCTGTAGGTACACCATATGGGTGTCCAGTTATAGCCAATGCTTCGAAAGAAGCCAAAATTGCATGTGGCTTTTAGTAGAAGGCTCAGAAGAGAACAACAGTGGGGCAACCACTTCCATGAAAATGAACGACACAGGCGTGGAGCTCGGTTGTGCAGACAGCTGCGTATACACTAGGAGCCCTGCGAGATGGATAGACGGCCCCGAGGCCCCTTCTGCAGTAGCCCGGACCCTTTTGTTTCTATAGGTGGAGAGCTTACCCGTTGGGCCCCCAGGAGCCGAAAGGGCCCCTCGCGCTTATGACATACTTGGCAGTTGAGTGCTGCCAGCTGCTCATACGCTCACCTTGGGGCCCCCATATTTTGTCTGCGGCATAATGAAAAATGAAATTAAATTGGATTGTGCTGGGGGATCAACTGCGGCTAATCACGAGCTGCCTGTACACCTCATTGGGGGCTCGGCAAACCACCAAGGGGCCCCGAGGGGCCCCATGGTGGGCGTGGTTCTTCTGTGTTATTTTACAGTAGCACACGTGCTTTTGATGTATTTTTTAGTTTAATTTAGTACTTTTTAATTTAATTTTTCTCGGGGAAGCACAGGAGAGGGGCGTTGCTGTGCTCTGGACCGTGCCCGGCGGCACAGGCCGGTGGTCTGCTACTCGTTGGTTGCTGGTTTTCTGCATTTTCCATCCTTTTTTCTTGACAAATTTATCTTTTTATCGTTAACGATTGCACTTAGGGGCCCCCAGATCCTTCGTCTAAATGCTAGGGGGCCCCCAGGGCCCCCAGGTGTAGCTCCAGCATGCACGACAAGGACCCCCCAGCCGAGAGTGTGGGGCCTCAAGACCAGCACGCTCTCTCGGGGCACCATAACATACAGCCTATACATCAGCATCAGCAAGGCCAGAACGAGGGAAGGAGCAGGCGGAGCGAGGCAGCCGCTGCCGCCTCAGAATCTTTCTCCTTGTCGCAGATGTTCTCGTTGGCCCCTTGGTGGTTGAGGGGCCCCTCAGGGGGGGCTCAGCAGAACAGCAGCCAGGGGGGCCATCCACGTCTGGGGACCCCCGAGGGCACCCCGCAGAGGACCTTCAGCCTGGGCTTGGGGGCCCCAGAGACCGGTTTAGGCCTTCGGTGGTTTGTTTCTGGTTGGAGAAGAGGGACTGTTCCTTCTAATAAGTTTAATTTGAGGCCATTTGCTGTCGCCCAACAAATGGGTTTTGTTGATGCTGCCTCTTGCCCCTTTTGCGCTGTACGTACTCCCTATGTCCCCTAAACCCCAATCCCGTGACATCACAACTTACGAGGCAGATCAGGAGCGTTTGGTTGAGCATGTGGTGCTTATAATGGTTACGGGCTTTCTGCTGCAGTTACTGTTACTGTTGCTGTGGCTGCGGCTGCTGCTGCTGCTCTGGGTAGGCTGTGTTGTGTTTGTGACTTTCATGTGTTTGCATCCCAATAAAAAAGACTCCCCATAACCATATATATACACAAATATATATGTGTACATATACGTCAGTATTTTATTGCTGTTTTATCTATATTATTTTGTTTCTAGGAACGAAGAATATCTATTCGATTTTTGAGTGAAGAGAAGCAAAGGCGAGAAACAGAAGAAATTCAACTCATTGAAGCTGCGCATCCGTAAATATCAAATAAATGACTGCTTTCCCTCTGTCTTCTCCTCCCTCCTTTTCTTTTTTTTCTTTTTCGGTTTAGGTTCTTGTTACTTTTTCTCTTCTTTTTTTTTCCATTTCTTTTTCTAGACATGTATTCTTTTTTTAGATATGTATAATACATACGCCATGTAAAGAACTCTCAGATGAATGTTCATGTTTATTATTCTATTTATTTCCCTCTTTATGTGTTATAGAGCTCTTCGAGAGACCCTCAAGACCTATGTGGAGAACAATGCGAAGAAAGGGGGCCCCCACAACCATTCTGATGCCTTAAAACAGGTGCTGAAGGGCCCTACACAAATACTGGGTGCAGCGGCTGCTGCTGCTGCGTCTGCTGCTGCGTCTGCTGCTGCGGCTGCTGCAGGAGCACTTTCGGACGTACTCGCGGGGGCCTCCTGTAGGGCGCCCTTAAATCGCTCCGACTTGGATGAGCTTTTGCCTGGGCAGTGCTCTTCTTGGGATGAAGCAGCAGCAACGGCAGCTGCAGCAACAGAAGCAACACCAGCAGCAGCAGCAGCAACACCGGCAGAAACGATAACAACACCATCCTCAGCAGCACAAGCATCAACCTCTTCACGGTTTGGGGCCCCTAGAACCCTGCAGAGAAGGGCCCCCCTAGAGGCCCCGGGGGGGCTGATGGCAGCTGCGGCTTCTCTGATGTCATTTGGGCTGTCAATGCAGCTTCCTAGGCCTCAGAAATCGGACACTAGAGGGCCCCTAAGGGCCCCTACTCCTGTGGGGTCCCAACCCCTAGAATCAGGCAAAGACGCGCTGTGCTTGAGGTGTAAAGACACTGCGGCAGAGGTGGCACTCTTAGAAGAAGAAGTCGACGAGGCCGAGAGAAGATGCCTTCTTGCAATTCAATTCCTCAGCGACAGCGCAGAAATCATAGAAGAGCTGATCACCTCTTCACAGGAAGCAGCAGACTCCAGCAGCAGCAGCAGCAGTAGCAGCAGATGCTGCAGCAGCGAAAGCACTTGTGACAGCGAAGCTCCTCATGAAGACGAACCCAAAGTAAACAAACTCCGAGGAGATCTCCTGTTTGCAACAGGGCCGCGCCAAAGGCGTAGGCAGGAACAGCAGCAGCAGTAGCACCGGCAGCTTTTGTAGCAGCAGGAGCAGGTTTAAAGGGCCTTCCTTACAAAGAGGGGCTCCCATGTTCATGCACGGGGCTCCTTTAGGAATCATCAGCAGCAAACCGAAGACAGCTGCTGCGATGTTATGTGGGCCTCCAAAAAGTTGAAAAGAATAAATGAGGGGCCCAATGCGCCCATGGGAGCAGCGGCCCTCTAGGGGTCGTTGAGGAGCCTTACGTGGGCCCGTGGGGGCCCCTAGGGGTCATTTTGAAGGGGTACCCTTGAGGGAAGCGACAACTAAACAGATTTTATTGCAATCGACTCAGGGAAATGGTGTATCATATAATTAAGGGTTAAGGCAGAGACACAGGGAGAAACAGACGAAGAACATATGCAGAAACAAAAGAAAAACAGAGGGACGCAAACACAGGAAAGAGAATAACATAGAAAGGAGACGACACAGGAATACAGAAACAGACAACCAATAGAGGCCAACACATCGCGCACGCACACACAAGTCCATAAACCTCTTATGGCCAACAACAGCAGCAGCAGCAGCAGCAGCGACAGCTAGCAGCACGTTCGTATGGGGGGTGCAGCGCCCAGCAGCAGCGCGCGTGTAGTAAAAAGAGTAAAGACACGATTAGACGTTTGTTAAATATATAGTGGATACAGCTGGATACAACTGGGTGTTTTAATTTTAGGGTTTCATGCTTAGGGTTTTGTCAACATCTGGTTTGCTGCTGCTGCCTCTCCTCTGGGAGAGAGAGTTGCTGCTGATAGATACAGATAGGCGTTGATAATTTATTCGAAGCTTATTAATTTCAAACTATGGAGGCAAACTCTAACCTAAAACCCTGAACATTCCCTGTTCGCCCACCCTCTCGTCGGCGTCGTTAGTTTTGGGGTATGGGGTTTAGAACGGTTGATGCTTTAGATTAGTGGTTTAGGTTTTGGAGGCTCGTTTCTCCTTTGCTCTACCCAAAGAATTTACAAATATAGTAAGAAAAGAACCAGAAAACAACCGGAGGGTTAGACGGGGGGTTCCAGGGGCCCCCCAGAGGATCCATGGGGGGCCCCCAAGCGGTTCAGCTGCAGTTGAGGAGAAGCTGCGGGTGTATGCAGAAGTCAAATGAATATTTATTTTCCTCAATATAGTTACAATCAAGAAAATAGGGTTTAGGCCTAGGGTTAGCGGTTTAGGGTTTTAGAAGCCCGTAGCCGTCGCGCATGCGGGCAGCAGAGGCTCGCCTTTAGAGTTTGAGGACTTAAGGTTAAAAAAACACTCTTTTATACCTATTGCTTTTGTTTATTCAGCCAAACAGACGAAAGAATTTCGGTACCCCTGAAACGCGAGACTTCACAACCACGTGTCGAAGCATCAACAGCAGCAATTGCAGGATCAGCGGCAGCACCAGCGGCACATCTCGTCAGCAAGCATCAGGAGCAGCAACATCCACAGTAACGTTTGCAGCATCTGGAGCAGCAGCCGCAGAAGCGGGAGTAGCTGCAACTGCAGCCGCCCCAACAGGAACAGCCGCCGCCGCCGCAGCAGCAGCAGCAGCAACCGCGGCCGCCGCTTCAGCAGTAGCAGCAGTGCGCGCTGCTAGCTTTTCCAAGGACTTTTGCGAAGTTGTTAGTCGTCTGCCCTAGTTTTAACAAACTTTGGCGCCGGAAGGGGGCCCCTAGGCACTGGGGGCCCCCCGAGGCAAACTGTGCCAGCAGCTGCAGCAACAAATGCAGCGACGGCAGCAGCAACGGCAGGACGAGTATTAGGAAGACGAGGATCAGGAGGAGGAGGAAGAGGAGGATCGGTGCACAGAGCAGCACCAGCAGCACTAGCAACACAAGCAGCAAGACCTGGAGGATCAGCGGCAGTAGCAGAATCTGTAGAGGAGATGATGCTCCCTGTTCGTGATTCTTTTCGTCCCGAGTTTGAGGCAGGAGGAGAAGAGGCCCCCCTCCTGCGTCGCAGCGGAGGGCTTTGCCCTGAGGTAGCTTTGTGCTGCTGTGCTGTTGTTGCAACTCGACTTGTGGTTTTTGGTGTTGTTGCTTCTGCAGCTGTTGCTGGTGCTGGAGACAGACGGACGAATAGACGATATTGTCCCTTTGTTTCTTGTGTTTCTTATTGCACTTCTTTCCGTTTGAAACAACCACTAGCAGCAGCACTAGCAGCAGCACTAGCAGCAGCAAGAGCAGCAGCAGCTGGAGCAGCATCAGCAGCAGCAGCAGCAACAGGATGTGTGTGTGTGTGTGTGTGTGTGTGTGTGTGTGTGTGTGTGTGTGTATGATGTGTACAGGATGGCAATTGTGTGCAGCGGTTGTTTGCATTTGCATGGCGTTGCTTGTGTGGCGTTGGACTTTCAAACTCAGAGCGATTAATTCATTTCAACGGATATTCTATTCCTCATAGATTTAGTATGACGCCTTCCTTTATTCATATGAATATGAATATGACTGTGATTATTATTATTATTATGTTCTTATTGTTATTGTGAACCACTGATATTATATTCTTTTGAAGTTATTTTCATTGTTATTATATTTATTTATTGTTACTGTATTTAGTGTTAGTGTGAACGACCCATCCACTCCAATGAATACTCCATTCCCCATAGATGCAGTATCTTAATAATAATAGCAATAGTGACACGAATAACAATATGAGTAGCAAGAAAAATACTACTAATGCTAATAATAATAAAAAGGGGAATAAGAAGAGGGGTGAAAGCAAATAAGATACTGATTTTATCACTGTTGTTATAATTGTTACTACTGTTCTTCCTATTGTTATTCTTGCTGTTCTTATTCTTGTTATTCGTATTGTTGTTATAATGGTCATTCTCTTTTTGTCTATTTGTCTTTTTGTCTGCTTGTCTTTTTTGTCTTTGTCTCCCCTGCCGTCGTCATGCTTTTCTGTCTGCCTTTCTATCGCAAACTCTCAGCTCAAAAATCCTCACGGCCAGTGCCACAACATGGTTTAGAGTTTACGGTTTAGGCATTTGGGTTTATGTGCAGCGAGTAATGCCATCAAGAACACCAAATACTCCTTTTTTACCTTTCTACCCGTCGTCCTCTTCCAGCAGTTCAGGTGTGGCAACCGCAGCAGTAGCAACAGCAGCCGTTGGTGTTGCAGCAGCAACCACTTCAGTAGTAGTAGTAGCAGCAGCAGCACAGACCTTTTCATACCAGGTGGATCCTTGCTTTCTACCGCAGCCCTCAACGCAGGCGCACTATGGTTGCTGTCAGTTGACATGTATAATTGCTGCCGTTGCTTCTGCTTCTGCTGCTGCCGTTATTGCTGTTGCTGCAGGTTTTTCTTTAACTTGTTCTACCTCCTCGTGGCTTTGGCACAGCTCGTGCCGATCCTCCAGGTGCGCCTCGCTTGTGCCTCTACAGCATCTTGCTGCTGATTTCGCTGCTAGAGCTGCTGCTGCTGCTGCTGCTGCTGCAGTTGAGTGGCTTGTTTGTGGTGGGTGGATATTAGGTCGGGCCCCTGTTCACCTACTTGGCACCTTTGGCCTTCGTGCTGCTCGCAACTTTGGCAAAGGAGGCATATGATGATATTAAAAGGTACTGCAGGAGCAGCAGGAGCAGCAGCAGCAGCAGCAGTAGTAGTAGTAGTAATAGCAGCAACAACAGTTGTTTTATTTTCTTTGTTTTCCTTGTGATTTGTTAGATGGCTTCGAGATAAAGAAATGAACGGCCAGCTGTACATGCGACTCCTTCCTACCGGTATGTTTTGTTTTAGGATTTAGGGTTTATTATTGCCTCCGTTTTCGTCATTATTGTCTCCTTTTGTCTTGCTATTGTCTCCATTGTCAACATTGGTTTGCCTTTTTACTCTCACCCCCTCCTGTATCCCTCTGTGCCCTTGTAAAGCCTTGGATTTTAGGGTTTCATGTTTTATGCGTCGAGTTTAGTGTTTCGGGTTTAGGTTTTATGGTCTAGGGCTTGGGGTTTAGGTTTCAGGGTTGTGGGTCTGGGGTTTGTTGCAGGGTTTGTCCCTGTGAGCGCTAGTGCCATAAAGGTGGGGAATATCATAAAAGTTGAGGCTAACGAAAGAGTTCCTGCAGATTTAGTTTTCTTAAAAACAACTGAGAAAACTGGCAGCTGTTTTGTAAGAACAGATCAACTCGACGGGGAGACAGATTGGAAACTCAGGTAACCTTTGCTGCTGTTGCTGCTGCTGTTGCTGCTGCTGTTGCTGCTGTGTTGCCGTTTAGACGACGGAGCTGCTCTTAGTGTTGTTGTTGCTGCTACTAGACTCCATATTAAGGTGCCATATCTCCGTCAGTTTGCTGTGGAGGCACAAGAATGATGGCGTCGGTCTTGTAGACAACCCTGCGATGTTTAGGGTATAGGCTTCAGGGTTTAGGGTTTTGTTCAGGCGGGCAGTGAATCTAACACAGCATTTGGCCACAGCGGAGGAGATTGCCTCTTTAGACGCCCAAGTTCTGGTGGAGGCGCCACGACAGGATATCTATGAGTTTACAGGCCGATTTTCCTACTTCGGCGGCGGCGGTGGCAGTAGCAGCGGCGACAACAGCCGAGTGAGGCGAGAAGAGACAGGAGATGCGGCACCTACAGCAACAGTCACAGTTCCCACAGAAGCCCACAGGGATTCTGTCGTGCCGCCCCCACAGCAGCAGCAGCAGCAGCAGCAAGATCCAATCACCAGCAAAACAGCCCCTTCAGCAGCAGCAACGGCAACAGCAGCAATAGCAGCACCAACAGCAGCAACAGCAGCACCAACAGCAGCAACAGGGGGGCCTGGCGACGCAGTGGTAAGTTTTGTTTGCCCTTTTCTCTGCCTGTGATGGGCAATTTCACCCGCATCTGCTGCATCTGCCACTGGTGCAGCTGCTGCGTGTGCTGGAGGGATATGTTACCCTTGGATTCGCTGCATTTGCTGCTCTTGCTTCTCTACCTGCTGCTGCTGCTGCAGGTAGATGTGGGCCGGGGTGTATGTGGATCTTGTCACGTGGAGCCCTTGGGGCTGGAGCAGGTTCTTTGGGCAAACACCGTCGTTGCTTCAGGAACTGTCATTGGGATTGCAATCTACACAGGCAGAGTCCGGCCAATTTCCATTGCTGCGGTTGCTTCTGTATCCGTCATTGTTGCTGCAGTTGTATCTGTATCTGGTGTTGCTGCTTCTGCTACCGCTGCTGCTGCTGTTGCTGTTGCCTGTGGCCGCTGAAATTGTTACTGTAGTTGATCCGGTGCTGCTGCTGCACCTGGTGCTGGTCTGCTACTGCGGCGGCTCCTACTGCTGCTGGAGGGTAGGTTGGTGTGTGTTTGTGGGTTTGCAGGAGACTCGGGCGAGTATGAATGCATCGCAGGCAAAGACAAAAGTTGGCTTATTTGATTTGGAGGTCAATTTAATGTCTAAGATTTTATTTGGTCTCCTCTGTCTTCTTTCTCTCTCTCTTGTCGCCTTAAGGGGATTCGAAGGAATTTGGTTTATCTACTTTTGCCGATTTATACTTCTGCTTTCATCTATCATCCCCATTAGTCTACAAGTCAACCTCATCATAGCCAAGACCATCCACAGCCTCAACATAATGCGCGACAAGAAGATGAAGGGCGCAGTAAGCACTAGGTTCTAGGGTCGACGGTGTGGGGTTTTGGGTTTAGGGTTCAATGTTTGGGATATTGGGTTTGCGGTTCGAGGTTTAGGGGTTAGTGCTTAGGTTTTGGGGCTTGGGGATTGACGCCTATGGGTAGGGAGGTGATTTGTGTGGGGGCATCTCTGCTTTCCTTTCTTGGCCCTGGATACCTTTTGTCTGCCCCTCCGTCCCTCTCTGTCTCTTTCTGTTATTGTTCTGTGTGTGCCACCGCTCGTTGGACCTTTATTGCTACTGCTGCTGCTGCTGCCTTTTATGCAGCTGGTACGCACTTCCACTTTGCCTGAGGAGTTGGGCCGCATTGGTTATTTGCTGACGGACAAGACAGGGACACTGACGCAAAATGAAATGCGATTTAAAAAGTTACACATTGGGAGGGCAATCTTCGCGGAAGACAGCCTCCTCCCGCTGCAGCAGATAGTGCAGCAGCAGTGCGCAGCAACAGCAGCCGCAGCAGCCGCCGCCGCCGCCGCAGCAGCAGCAGCAGCAGCTGCTGCTGCTGCAGCGGAACCAGGAAGCCCCCCCGAAGGGAACCCTGTAGACCCCGCTCCAGCGGCACCCGCGGGTGTAGCCGGAGGGGGCTTAGCGCAGGAAAGACGTAGCAGGAGAGCAGAAGTAGAAAGCGCTGTTTTTGAGGCAATTAAAGGGCTTAGCATTTGCCATAATGTGACCCCCGTCTTCGAAGACCAAGAGGTATTTTTCCATCGTTGTCTCTCTTTCTTGTGTCTCTTTTCTTTCCCCTGTCTCTCTCTATCTCTCCGTGGTCACTGTGTCCCTTCTCTCTGTTTTATCTATCTGTTGGTCTGGATTTGTTGTTGTATCTATCCCCCGCCTCTTTTTTGTCTCTGGTCTCTCATCTGCTCTTACGCATCTCTGCCTGTGCTCCTCTTTCCTCTCCTCTTTTGTTGTCCCTCCGCGTGCTTCTGTCGGTCTCGCTGTTACTGCGGCTGCTCCTGCACTTGTTGCGGCATTTACTGCTGCTGCTGCTGCGGGACGTGTGGTTGCATTTGCAGCTGTGCTGCAACTGTCTCCTTTTTGCTGTCCCTCCAATCTTGTCCCAGCGTCTTCTTTATTGTCCGTTGTATTTATCTCCATTTACAACGTATAATTTATTACCCAATGTTCATTATTATTTATTTATTTACTTATTTATTTATTTGTTGTTGCAGCTGAGATTTCAAGCTGCTTCTCCTGACGAGGTGGCATTGGTCAACTTTGCCAGCAGCGTCGGCCTCCGGCTGGTGGAAAGAGATGAACACACAATGACACTTCAGGTAATAACAACTGCTGCTGCTGTTGCTGCTGGTGTTGCCTCTGCTACTGGTGTTGCTTCTTCTGGCGCTGCTTCTACTGTTGTGTTGCTGCTACCGGGGATGATGCTTTCTGTTTTGTTGCTGCTGTTGGTGTTGCTGTTGGACGTGCTGCAGTTGTATAGTCGTGCTGTCTTTTTTGTCTATTGTTGTTCGTTCCATATATGTACCTGCTTGACATTTACTGATGCATAAGTAGATCTGTTTATATTATTTACATTAGTTACATTTACACTCATATTCAGAGAGCTTTTTCTGTCTTAGGGCCCAGATGGTTTGGTGCTGCAGTACGAAGTGCTGCATTGCTTTCCATTTGCCTCCGAATTGAAACGAATGGGAATAATTGTACGAGAAAAAATCTCCAAGAGAATCTTCTTCTATGTTAAAGTAATCCGTAAACCCTAGTTAATTCGTAAACCCTAATTAATCCGTAAACCCTGACTAGTTCGTCAAATATATTTTTGCTGCTGCGGTTGCTGTTGTGTGTTATTGTTGCTATTGTTGATGCATGCTTGCTGCTCTTGCTGCTGCTGCTGCTGCTGATGGGTCAACTGCTGCTACTGCTGGTTCTTTTTCAGGGAGCTGAGGCTGTGATGCTGTCTCTGGTGAGCCCGAAAGGGTCGCAATGGTTGGGAGAAGAATGCGACAACTTTGGCAGACAAGGTAAGGAGACAGTTTAATTTGATAAAATTTAATTTCAAATTAAATCGAATTGATTTGTTTTATCTGTTAATTATTTCAATTGCGACTGTTTTGTTTTATTTGTCATTTATCCCACTGTATATGTCGAGACAGAGGGAGGGGAGACACAGACACAGGAGAGAAACAGAGAGAGAGCAGGTGTGGGTTCTTGCTCTGCGTTGTGCTTTGGGTATGCATTGGTGTGTGTCCGTCTCTTTTTGTCTGTCTTTTGGTTTGTGTGTGTCTGTAGGAGTTGTTTGTATGTTTGTTTACTTGTTCATCTGTTTGTTTGTCTCCTCAGGCCTTAGAACTCTTGTCTTGGCATATAAGGAGTTGACGGACTCTCAATTGGAGGCATTTAGGATTAAATATGAAGAAGCGAGGAGACACATGCAGCAGAGAGAACGAAGAATCCGTAGAGAAATAGAACGACTTGAACAAGACTTAATTTTATTAGGACTGACGGGAGTAGAAGATAAGTTGCAAGAGGTAATTGCATGCAAACGCATGCACTCGTGTTATTTTCCCTCCTTTTCTTTCTTTCCTCCTCGATTGGTTTTTGTTCTTTGTACCAAATTAACTCCATTTCCTTCCCCCCATTGCTCTTTACTCCCTTCCTTATACTTATACTGCGCCTTGGGTGTCTATGCAACTACAGAATGTACCGGAGACACTTGAGTCGTTACGCCACGCTGGCATTAAGATTTGGATGCTAACTGGAGACAAAGTAGAGACAGCTACATGCGTCGCAGTCTCCGCGGGACTCAAAACTAGGCACGACACAATCGCTGTCCTCTCTTCTAACACAATTCGAACTCCTTCGCAAGTACTTGCACACTGCTGCTGCTCCGCCTGCTGCTGCTGCCGTCCCAGGAGCTGCTGCTGCTGGTGCTGCTGTGGCATTTCCTGCTGCTGTTGCAGTTGCTGTTCCGGTTTGTGTTGTTTTGTGCTTGTTTACCCCCTTGCTGCGGTTTACGCATGCAGCTGCTGCTATTTATACCTTTACTCTTTCTACTACTGCGGTTGCTGCTGCTGCTGGTGTTTCAGGCTCAGGAAGCATTGGAGAGGTTTAGCATGGGTCCTAGCGAGTCGGTGCTGGTGGTGGAGGGCAGCGTGTTGTCTTTGTTTTTGTCTTATTTTCCGAAGTATTTCATTCTTGCTGCCTGTCAAGCTCCAGCTGTGATTTGCTGCCGCTGCTCTCCCACTCAGAAGGCAGCCGTTGTTTCGCTTCTAAAGCTGTACACAGACAGACGCACCTGTGCAGTTGGAGATGGAGGGAACGATGTCTCCATGATTCAGGCAGCAGTGCGTTTTCCTCCTCTTGCTGCTGCTGCGGCTGTTGCTGCTGCTGCTGTTGCTGCTGCTGCTGACCAGGATGATGCTGCTGTTGCTGCTGCTGCTGCTGCTGACGAGGTTGTTGGTGTGTTGCTGTGGCGGTGATGGAGATGTGCTTGATTATGTTAAGTTGTATTGTTTTTCTTTGTTGATTTATATTATTTAGATTATTCTTTACACTATCTGCATTATTTTATATACATGAGTGAAATTGTGTGGTTATATTGTGAGGCATTCAATTTGTCGATTCCCACTAAATAGAAATCTGTAGAATGGAATGGAATTAGATTGAACAGAATTAAGTTAAGTGGAATTAAAATAAATAGAATTAAATTAAATGGAGTGGACGTTCATAAAAAATAATTGAATCGAGATGAGTTAAATGGATTTGTGTACATACACCAGAATTGAGTATACAAACACAATTATGACACAGTAAAATAGAATATAATCCAATTAGGTTAAATAGAGTTGCTTTTGTGTACCACAGGATGTGGGTGTGGGCTTGGAAGGAAAAGAAGGACGGCAGGCGTCTCTTGCAGCAGATTTCTCTCTGTCTCAATTTTGTGATCTGCGGCGGTTGTTGCTTTGGCACGGCCGTAATAGTTATCAGCGCAGCGCCAAGTTGTCTCAGTTTGTCGTCCATCGTGGTCTTATCATTGCATGCGTTCAAGTTATCTTTTCTGCCGTTTTCTTCTTTATTCCCCTCGCCATCTTCCAGGTACTTTATAAAGATAGACAACCCTCCACTTCGCCTCCAGCAGACGCACACAACAAACGGAAATAAAGACGCAACTTTCTAACAGATGAATATCCATAAACACACGGATAAAGGGAGAGACAGACACAGATAAAGGAAATAGCGATAGAGTTAGAGACGCTTTACAGGCAGAGACAGCGACAGGCACAGCAGCAAATGCAAACACACAAACACAAAACGGCGACAGCGAAGGTTACATGCCTTTTTTCAGATCTCCTCCTGTAAGATCTGCCTACATCTTGCGTCGTGTGTTGTGCTGTGATGGGGTGTACGCACATCTCAGGGTTGGCTCCAAGTCGGCTACGCAACATACTACACGACAGCTCCCGTCTTGTCTCTCGTCTTAGACGTTCAACTCCCGGAGAAAGTTGTTTTTATGTTTCCTGAGCTATACCAGTCCCTTAGAGCAGGCAGAGCCCTTTCTATTAAAAGCTTCTTCGGTTGGGTTTGGAGATCGGTCTACCAGGTAATCCTGCTGCTGTTGTTGGTGCTGCTGTTATTATTGTATATTGCTGTAGTTTCTGGTTGTTTCTTGTTGTTGCTGTTTTGTGTTGTTCGCTGTTGTTTGCTGTTGTTTGCTGTTGCTGTTGACGTTGCTGTTTCTGCTTGTACAGCAGCGTTTCGATTCAGGGCGTGCTGCAGCAGCCGTCATGTTGGTGAGGGGTGGGGTCTTGTTTGTCATTATGGGTTATTCCTGCTTCTGTTGTTTAACTTGCTTCTGCTTCTTTGCTGTTGCTGCCGCTGCTACTACTGTTAGGGAGCAGTTTTGATGTTGGGGGCAATCGCTCTCTTTGAGCAGAGTTTTACAAATATCGTTGCCATTACATTCACTTCACTTGTGCTTGCCGAGCTCCTCAATGTTGCTTCTGAAATACAAACCTGGTTGGTTGCTGCCCCTGCTGCTGGTGCTGCTGCTGCCGCTGCTGATCTTGAGGCCCTTGATGCGGCTGTTTTTGGTGCTTTTGGTGCTGTTGTTTAGGATGCTCCGGAGGTTGCTGCTGCCTTTGGTGCCCCTGCACTTGTTCCGTAGCTGCTGTGGCCGCTCGTGTTCTTGACGCTCGTGGTTTGGCTCTTGCTGCTGCTGTTGCTTTTGCTGCTGCTAATTCGACATTACGTGCTGCTATTTACTTGGTGGCCGTTGCTGCTGCTGCTGCTTCTGTGTCTTGTTGTTCCTACTACTACTGGTATTGGGGTGATGTTTATGTGGAGGCCAGCTGTCTGAGCTGCTGCTGCTGTTACTGGTGCTTCTCCTGCTGCTGCTTCTGCTACTGCTGCTGTTCTTTGTTGTTGGGTATGTGCAGGCATCCACTAATGGTTTCCTCTGAGATTTGCAGTGTAACGATTTACATTTTTTCCATGTTTGTTTTACGGAGTTGCTTTGATATAACGGCAAGTTGTTTAAGGGAGGGGGTGAAGTGGTTATTTGTCTTTCTTCGTTACTGCTGTGGCAGCAGAGGTGTCCGGAAGTTGTGTTTCCGTTCAAATTTTGTTGTTCTTTATTCTCCTTCTTTCTCACCCACAGCAGGTTTTCTTGTCTCCTCTTCTGCTTTTGCTGACAGGATGCTGTATCTTATTTGAAGTGGTCATTCTGCTGTTGTGTCTATTGTTGCTGCTGATTGGAGTGCAGCTGTGTACAGCCAATGTTCAACAGCTTTACTCGTCGGCCTCCCTTTTTTGGCTGCTAGTGCTGCTGTGCTGTTGCTGTTGCGGGTGCTGGTGGAAATTTGAGGGTTTTGGAGGTGTTTGCTGCTGTTCTGCTTGGGTTGGTAGTATTTGGTTTTGCTGCTTGGGTGCGGGTGCAACGATTGTCTGGATGTTGGTGCTGCTGTTGCTGCTGCTGCAGTTTGTCATGACACATGCTTTTTGGACGAAGGTTTGCATCATCACGTTGGCCTCGTGGCTGCCTCCTCATTTATTTGCTGTTGTAAAGAAGATAATTCAACCTCCACAGTACTCCAAACTCACAGCGGCTTGACTTGCTCCTGCTGCTGCTGTTACTGCTGCTGCTCCTGCTGGTGTACTGTTGGCAGCAGGGCAGCGTTGGTTGGTTGTAGCAACTACACAGCAAGCGCAGAAGTGTGATTGCTTAAAAGGATTGAATCTCCGGTCCATGCAAGCCAACGCGACAGCTGTGGGGCTTTTATTAAGCCGCTCCTTCTGTACCTCCACATACACCGCAGACAGCAGCAGCAGAAACCAGCAGAGGGCAATCTTAAGGCCCTCCCTCTTTCTAGCATTCTAGCATGTTCATAGAAACAATCTGTTTTATTTTTTAGGCCCTATAATTGTAAATCCATCATCTTTTATCGCCCATTATCTTTGTACTGCCTATAGAATGGAAAGGTCCTGGCATTATATTCTGCCCATGTATTTTTATTGTATTAATGCTACAAGCTTAAATGTAACCAGTTACAGTTATTATGCTCAGCTTTATTTGCCACCACCATATCGAACATAATAACGGCCAATTGTATACAATGCTTGGATTCACTGTATAATGGCATTAAATACTGGTAATATTAATTATGATACTATAGACAGAATAGTGATGGATATTCCTTGCAGTAGGAACTAAGAATAATAGCTTAATTATTACTATTATTACACCTCATAATCCATTGTTGATATTACTATATACTGTCGCTGTCTATTATTTATATTTCTTATTAAATTGCAGTGACAGAGCCGATTACTAATTTGGTCTCCGACAGAACAGTCGAATACGAGAGTAGGCCAGGGTTGGGTTTTTTCACGGCATCCCCTCCTTCTGCATGGGGTATATCTTGACGGAAGGCCTTTTGTGTGTGTCTTTGTTGCCTTTGCAATGTTAATTAAGACGGAGTTCAATTCCTACGTACTCTAAGTGAAGGCCCATCAGTTAGACCTATTTCAGCGCTTAGCACAGTTGTGAACTCGAGCTGCCATCAACGAGGTGTATCGGTTGGTATTTGGAGTGTATTTACACACACTAATTTAAAGCTCATTTAGTTTTATTGGGTATTCCTCCCGTCTGTGTGTGCAACCATCTTTGCCATGGCTACTGCCGAGCTGCCAGGAAACCCGTGCGGCGTCTCAGCAGCTACAATATAGACTCTTTTCTACCCTTGCTGTCTATTCGTTAACTGCAGTGTATTACATTAGCCTTCTTTGGGCCAACCCGTAGAGTTTTATCCACAGCAGGAGTAGTAGCAGCGCCATCCATTCTTCCAGTGGTAAAGTATTGTGAGGGGTTTTGCGGGGTGTCTGTACACCTAGAGACGCCCAAGTGGGCATCAATTAGAAAAGAAAACACAACTATGCAGGAAGAAAGACCTCAAGGAATACGATAATAGTAGGAATAGGATGTGCTGCAGCGCGACTCGACCCGTGTGCCCCTGTGTCGATGTACAGCTGAGCTGGAGGAGACCTGCAGCTCTTGATGCTACTGCTGCAGCTTAAACTGCCCAGTTGCTCCTAGGCTTCCATACACCATGATATTATACAAATGATGATCTTTAATCGTTTTAATGCAAACAGTAACAACACAAACGCACCGCAGCTAGCAGCGCGTCGCTACCCCCTGCATCACCGATCTAACCGGGTGTATGCATATACATGCACCTTTAAAACCGCATTAGTGAACCTGCTCCGAAAACCTCCAAATATCAGAAATAGGCTCAATAAGTTAAATTAGATTCCAATTAAACTTTTCCGGGAGATGCCATATTAGACGCGAAAGAAGGAGAACCGCTGGGGCCCCAAGCCGTGCATGCTGAGGGCTTGGGCTATTAGGCGCCTTCGAGCCCGTACTGCAGAACGAAACTGAGCAGCAGCAGCAGCAGCCGCAGCAGCAGCAGCAGCATCAGCAGCAGCAGGGAGCGCCTTCTGGCCCTTAGCTGTATGGGGTCTTCCTTTATTACCTTCGCCCCTGCTGGACTTCGATGTGCCGCTGGAGGAGGGAGCGGTGTTGCATCAATTTAACTGGCTTCAGGGGGCTTTGCTCCCTTTTTATTTTTCTGCTTTAGCAGCAGGGGTGCTCCCAAGCCCCCAGCAGAGTGCCAGAGCCCCGCCGTCTCAGGGGTCCCTCACCTTCGAGGGCCCCCCAAACTGAACTCCTCACTATCTCCACGGGGGGCCCTCGTCGCTTGTGCGTGGAGCCCCCAAGCACACCACACGTTTCGACGCTGTATCAGCACACTGGCTCCATGAGCAGCTTCTGCTGCAGCTGCAGCAGCAGCGGCACGGACAGCACAAGCAGAAGCAGCAGCAGCAGACTCTAAGAGAGTTCTAGCTGTCGGTGCGCGTGCTGCGGCTGCTGCACGTCAGGCGCAATGCACAGCCCTCAGCCATGGCTGTTGCAGATGCAGCCGCCGTTCCGCATGAGCAGCAGCAGCACCAGCAGCAGCACAAGCAACAGCAACAGCAAGAGTGGTGATGCATCTTCAGGCTCTGAGACCCACCCTCTCTCTCTAACATGTTTCTCAGTGTCCCCATGCGTCCCTCCGGGGCCTCTTCTTACTAGCAGCAGCCCACAACCCAATGCAAACCCGTTTGCTGTTGCTGCTGCAGTACCTCCAACCGTGGAGAAGTTCAATGCTGCGCTCCTGCAACAGCAGCAGGGAGTTCTGATGGCGGTAAGTGACACGGCTGCAGGAGCAATAACAACCTCCGCAGGAGCTCCAGGTAGCGGCCAGCAGCAACAGAACCAAGGGCTTCTGCAAGAAAATGGACGGGAGGCAGGAGGAGACACTAACCCCGCACATGCTACTGCTGCCGCTGCTGCCTCTCCTGCCTGCGGAGCAGGAAAACTGCGCAGCAGGAGCAACAGCGGCAACAAAACAAAACGCATCTCCTTGGGCGTAACTGAGAGCAGCAGCCACAGCAGCAGCAGCAAGAGCAATAGCAACACCAGCAGCAGCAGCAGAAACAACAGCTGTAGCACGAGGCCTGTTAAGCGGAGAGCGAGTGACAAGAGGGGCCCTTCCTCTCCTGCTGAACACATACTGTCGCTGCAACAGCAGCAGCAGCCGTTGCTGCTGTTGCAACAACCACTGCAGCAGCAACAGCAGCTGCTGCTGCATCAGCCACCACACACCGCGCTCTTTGGTCAAGGGGCTGCTAGACCTGGTGAGGTGGACGGCATTTCCCCACAGCAGCATCAGCTTTTCCTGGAGCAGCAACTGCTGCTACAACAACAGCAGTTGCTGCAGCAGCAGCAACCACTGCAGCAGCAGATGCCGGTGCTTCAAGAACAGCACATTGTGCAGCAACAGCCAACGTACCATCACCCGCAGAATCAGCAGCAGCTGCTGCAGCAGCATCAACAGCAGCAGCATCCACAACAGCAGCATCAACTGCAGCTGCAGCAGCATCCACAACAGCTGCATCAACTGCAGCAGCATCCACAAGAGCAGCATCAACTGCAGCAGCACCAACTGCAGCAGCATCAACTGCAGCAACACCAACTGCAGCAGCATCAACTGCAGCAGCAGCTGCTGCACCAGCACCAGCTGCAGCAGCATCAACTGCAGCAGCAGCAACAGCTAGAGCAGCATCAATTGCAGCAGCAGCAGCAGCTACAGCAGCAGCAGCCGTTGCTGCTGCACAACGTGCCGCTGCCTTTTCTGTGTCCAGGGACAGAACCGCCTTGTGGGGCCCCCTCGTTGACTCCACTTAGGGCTGCTAGGGGGGCCCCCCTGGAGATGCCCTGCGGATCTCCTTTGCCTGTGGCTGCAGTGTACGTGCAGCAGACGCCGTGTGCTGGTGGCGCATCATCAGCTGCTGCTGTCCCTGCTGTACCAGCAGCAGCAGCAACAGCAGCAGCAGTTGTGCCTGTATACGACAGCAGGAGCAGCCTGAGCAACTCCCGCAGCAACAGTGGCAGCAGGCAGGGGTCGGTCGTCTTCTCTGCTGATGGGGCCTCTCCGGCTTTTGTGGGTTCTGAGACTGCCGTCCCTTCGGACGTCAGTTGCCCCCCCCCCTCAGGTGGTGTTGCCTGCGGCCCCCCCCCCTCCGTGTTTTGTTCTGCTT